CTGCGATTTTGACGTGCAGTTTTTTGATATGTGTCCACTTTTGTTACAGCGAAAACACTTCGGCTCGTCTTTGCAATCGGCTCTTTTGTGATCCACAGACCCACAATTAAAACAATGTTCCTTCCTAATATTTGATTTATATTCTCTTTCTTGTTTAGTTCTTTCGCTAATTTTGTTATTTTTCCGCACTGTTTCTACAATTTGCATTCTTTCTACAATTTCGTACTGTACTTTGAGTTCTGAAAAGCTTTTTGCACTGTATAAAGCATACCTGTCCTCGTTTTGGATTTTCAGCCCATCCACTATATACCGGATTACCGACGCGTCTTCGATGTTTCCACAACATGCTATCTTTTTCATGTTTAAAATGTACTCATGAAAATTTTCACAGTCTTTCTTTTTACGATTAGATAGTTTTTTGTGTAAGTCATCACTACTAAGTTCTTTGTGGAATTCGCGAATCAGCAGCTCTTTTAGTGTTTCGTAATCACTGACCGACACCGACTCTAGAAACAATTGAGCCACCTTTACCATTTTGCCCCGAGCTTGGACATATTTTTGTTTTGGTGTGAGCTCGTAAGCTTCCGCATTTTGATCGAAGTTATCAAACCATTGTTTAATAGGTATCGACTGGCCGTCACAGTCGGGGATTATTTTGTTGAAATTATCAACTGATATGCTAACTTTTTTGTTTTCGTCTTCTTTCTGTAATTTCAACGCCATAAGCTTTATAAGTTCTTTTAACTCGGGGTCAGCCACATAATTTTCACTGCTGCTGCTAGAACTGCTTTCCATTTCTTTTGGCATTTCTGCACTCTTTATGTTTCGTTTATCAACCTCTTTCTCCCACTTCACGTTCGCGGCGAATTGTTTCAACTGTTCTACTGACTTCAACCTTTTTTCACACTTTAGACCTTTTGCAACGGAGCGCCTGAAATAGTACTTATGTGTATGTGTTTTATCGTTTAAGAGATGTCGATCTTTTACTCTCATAAGTGAAGAACCGTTCTAGCGGGGTATTTGAGTTCGTACTTTTTGCGTAATTTTCTTTTGCGAAATTTTGCTTGCTTTTTGTGTTGGGGTCACCTCTACGTTTAATTTTGCGTAATTCTCTTTCTCGAAATTCTGCTTGCTTTTTGTATAAAGGTCACCTCTACGTTTAACTATTCGTTCGGTTAGCGCCCGGTTGAGGCCCCAAATGTAACAATGTTTATTTGAAGCAAAGTAATAGATATTATAAGATATTAATTTAATGTGGAAAGTTCATAAGTGCTAAGTATTTTAGTACTATAAAGTATATCAAATTAGAAAAACACCCGGGCGACCTATCACGACGGCGAACAACTGCTGAGCTCAAATACTTCTTCTTCGACAACGGCTTTGAAACTGACTCCCACGAACTACCGCTTAAGACCGACCAGAGTACAAAAGTCGGTAGCTGATGACAGGCGACCGCTATATCGTTACTAATACCTGCTTACATATATATGCTACTTTTACCCGCGGGTTTCACCCCGCGCTTTTATACAAATATGAAAAATAATTTAATAATGTTAGTGACGCAGCGCTAGTTTGCGCTTCGTAAAACTTTATTTAACAGATTTAAATTTATGCACTGTAGAGCAGTCGTATGCTCCTACCAACAACTAAACAAACTTATTTAACCGCGTAACTACAAAGATTTAATTAAAATCACTACCGACGGCGGAACTTTGGAGGAAACGAGCGAGCAAATTAAAAGTGGTGTTGACCGGTCCGATTATCTTTTTACAATAATTCAGTTTATTCATTCCAGAGAAGTACATAGCCTCAAATGGTTGTTATGTACTATAATATATGTATACTAGTGTGAGTGTATATTCAGCGGCCACGCAGGGCTGCACTATCTACAAAAATACTCTGTTTTATAGTTGAGGAATTTTAGAGTGCACACGTTTGTGCAACTATGCATAAGGGCTGTTCAGGATGTTGTGCATGTTTGCATAATTCAATTCATTTGTAACTGCAAATATAAATGCAAATCCAAGATCATTAGCACAACATCCTGAAAAGCCCTGTATGTAGTATTTAAATAATACAATTCATTTAATGTTGTACATATGTACATATAGAAGCAAATACTACTTAAACACTACATCCAAAGATTACATTGAGCATTAGGTTTAACAATTCAAATATTAATATCAAGAAATATGAAGTATTACATACATATGTAAATACAATTCATGTGCAAACAAATATGAGTTCGATATGCAAATCGATAATGCTATGAATTTCATGTAAAATGAACATACTATATGCATATATAAAAAAAATGAAAATAAATGAAGGTTACAATCATGAACTAGGCGTGCTCCAACATTCCGGCCCCATTGAAGGACCTGCGATCTTCAATCTATATTTGTTGGAAGCATTGCCAATTTTTGTATGGCGCGTCGACAGACCCCGGACGATGTTTTAACGTCTGCAACACGCACTTTACCGTCTGCGCCAATTACGGTTTTTACTACCCTTCCCAATAGCCATTTTTGGGACGGCAAATTGTCTTCGTGCACCAGCACGAGAGTGCCAACTTCGAGGTTGGGATGCGGCCCGTCCCATTTGGTTCTCGCCTGGAGATTGAGAATATGGTCCCGCTGGAAGGCGGACCAAAACCGAGCCTGCAGGGACGAGAGCCGCTGACAAAGATCTAAATAGCATAGCTTCTCGGTTGAAACGAGGGGTTCGGGCACGGCCATGAGAGAATCCCCTATTAAGAGATGGGCTGGGGTTATTGCCTCGGCGTCGTTGGGGTCGTCTGTAGCTCCTACGAGTGGGCGGGAATTCATTATTGCCTCCACGTCGACCAAGACGGTGGCCAACTCCTCGAAGGTAAGGGTATTGTCGCCGACGACGCGCATAAGAAGATGTTTGGCGCTCTTGACGGCTGCCTCCCATAGCCCGCCGAAGTGAGGTGCGCGTGGGGGTATGAAGGCGAATTCCTTGCCTCGCTCGGCTGCGAACGCGCCAATTTCGCTCCGCTTGTCGTGGCAGTTGCTTGGCGAGATCTTGAAGCCGTGCGTTGGCGCCCACGAAGTTCGTTGCGTTGTCGCAGTATAGTTTCTGAGGAACTTCGCGACGTCTGACGAACCTTTTGAGAACAGATAAAAAAGCATTAGTTGATAAATCAGAGACTGGCTCTACATGTACAGCGTTTGAATTGAAACAAATAAAAATGGCAACGAAAGATTTGTAAGGCGGTCGGCCTCTTATTTTGTGGGTGGTGTATAGAGGCCCACAAAAATCAACTCCGGAAATAAGAAAGGGTCTAACTGATCTCAATCTATCTGGTGGCAAGTCAGCCTGTTCCGTGTGCTCTTGTTTGAAGGGGTTTAATCGTTGAATATTTGCCGGTGGATAGTTGCCTTTCCTCATTTGCTCGAGTAATTCAGATTTCTGAACGGTTTCCACTGTTTTTAAAAACGCCCAATTATATTCTTTGGCGGTTATATCCGTACCCCTTGTATTAGCGAACGGCTTTATAAATCTGTAAATATATGCTACAATTCGTACAATTTTGTTAAAGGACGACAAAGAGTCAAATATTTTTAAAATTATATTCTCTTGTACTGCAAGGTTTAGTATGGTTTTCGCCTTTTTTAGCTTAATTGTGTGTTGGATTCCTCGAGCTCAAATTTCTTGTTTTGTGGCCAATTTCTCGAATCTTTTACCAGGAAACTTGGGCCTTCAACCCACAAAGGTTGCAGTGATTGGTCAATATCACATCCGCGTGAGGCTAAGGCTGCAGGATTCTCTTTAGTCGGTACATGTCTCCATACAACATTGACTGCGTTTTCCTGGATTTCAGCTACCCTATTTGCGACAAAAGTAGACAGAGTGGCCGGGTGCTTTTTCAACCAGTACAGCACTATTTCTGAATCAGACCAAAACACAACCCTTTCAATTACAACGCTCTGAATTAGTGGCTCAATTACTTTATATAATTTTGTTAGTAACAAGGCGCCACAAAGTTCGAGACGGGGGAGACTTTTGGTTTTTAACGGCACCACTTTAGATTTGGCAGTCAACAGTTGCGATGTTACAACATTGTCATGTGTGCTTCGAATATATAAACAACAACCATAAGCACGTGGCGAAGCATCACAGAAGCCATGAATTTGTATACTTTTATTGGGAAACATATTTACAAAGCGTGGTACCTCCATTTTGTCGACTTGTGCTAAATTTTGAGCCAATTTTTGCCATGATGTTTCTATACTTTGGGGAATTGATTCGTCCCATGCCAACTTTAACAGCCATAATTCTTGCAATAAGATTTTAACGTTTACAATAAGAGGGCACAGCAAACCGAGCGGATCAAATATACGTGATGAAACTGACAATATATTACGCTAAGTGGGTTTTATTTCAAGTGAAGTTCGGTCGATTTTAAATTTTATTGTGTCTTTTTTCGGGGACGAAGTGACTCTGAGCGCCTTAACTGTGCAGGTTTCGTCCGCCTCCAACGATTTCTCCCCTTCTTCGTTTTGGAACAACTTTGGATAATTGTAGTGCCATTTTGCCAAGCTGAATCCTCCGCCTTTTAAAATCGTAACGACCTCTTCCTGAATTTGTAGCAACTCTTTTATGTTGGCCGCACCAGATAGCATATCATCAACATAAAACTCATCTCGAATTACCCTACAACCGAGTGGATATTGGTCTGAATATATGTCGCTCAATTGCTTTAAACATCGAATAGCTAAAAATGGAGCGGGCGTTGTACCGTACGTTACAGTATTCAGGCAATACTTCTGAATTGGATCGATTGGACTTTCTCTATATAGAATTAGCTGAAATCTTTTATCATAGTCATTAATGGCTACTTGACGGTACATTTTAGTAATATCTGCGGTTATGGCCCATTTGCGACAACGAAAGCGTATTAGTGCACTGAATAATTCTGGTTGAATGGTCGGGCCAACCATCGAAGTTTCATTTAGTGAAACTTGCGTCGAACTTTAGCATGACGCATCGAAAACTACTCGTAACTTGGTAGTTGCGGCATCGGGTCTTAAAACACACTGATGCGGGATAAAGTAATGGGGCATATTAAAATCAATATTTTCTATTGGAGACATATGGCCTAATGTGATGTACTCATTCATAAAGTCTTTATACATGTCATAAGCTTCTGGCGTTTTTTGCAATCTTCTTTCTAATGAAAGGAATCGTTTTTGAGCTATTTCAAATGTAGATCCAAGTGCAGATGGGTCTTTTTTAAAGGGCAGTTTCACTTCAAATCGGCCACTGGGCAATATTTTGAAATTTTCTTTAAAGTGATTTTCGCAATTCATATGCTCTGGCGTACATTTTGATTCGCAACCTTTTACCTCCTCTATTTCCCAGAATTTCTGCAGCGTCTTGTCTACATTTTCGTCTTCCATAACAAAATCTTCAGCATTGGCAACCGCCAGATCACAAATAGCTCTGGTAATGTTTGGCTTAGCTTTACATTTGCCTGAAACAATCCAACCTAACTGAGTCTTTTGTAGCGTTATTAACTCAGCATTCAGCTTTATTTGACCTACTGACAGTAAACTGAAGAAAATTTCGGCTCCAATTAAAATGTCCATTCTTTGACGCTTAAAGAAGTATGGATCGGCTAGCTCAATATTCTGAGGAATATTCCAATCTGCTGTTGCAATATTGCCTTCGGGCTGGTACCCGGAAATCGACTTAATGACCCACAAATCAACATATGCCTCATATTCATTTATTCGAGATTTTATAGATGTCGAAACTTTGTCCTTAATGTTAGCCTCAATTTAGCCTACGCCAGCAATTTGCAATTCTTTACGCTCCTTTTTCAGTCTAAGTCTTTGTGCCGTTTCTTCACTTATCACATTTATTTTCGACCCAGAGTCTAGCAAAGCCCGCGCTACCACATATTCACCATTCTGGCTTCTGATTTGGGCAACGGCCGTTGCTAAAATAACCACGTCTTCTGAGACTGAAACATGAGTAACTGCACTATTAGCCCGATGGGTTGTAGAAGCGATATTCGATGCAGCCTGAGCAGTACTAGACATGCCAGTTGTCGTGGCAGAAGCCACCTGGTATTTATGCAATAGTGAATTATGTGGTCGCTGACATACCCTACATCGCACGGCACGACAAGTAGACACACTGTGACCAACTTTTAAGCATAATGCAGAGCGCATTTTTCTTTGCAAAATTGAAACGATCTGTAACAATTAGATTGGCAAATGAACCGCAATTGGTAATTAAATGGCCCTTTGATTTGCAATACGAGCATTTATTAGTATTGGCATTGGATTCTGTTATACTAAATGAGGACTTTTCCGACCGCTTTTCTGAGGATTTAGTTTCTTTAAAAAAGGGCTTGTTTTGTTTATGGTCATTTACTTCTAGAGACTGGCAACGCCTTATAAGAACTTTAGTACATTCATTCCAAGTGGGAAGTTTCGAATAATCAAGTTGGTCATTCCATTTTGCTCGTGTAGCCCCATCGACCTTTGACATGCCTAAATGAATAAATAGTGCTTTGGTTATATCTTTTTCGCTGCCCAACGAATGAAGCGAATCATATATAGCCGAGATAGTATCAACGGCATTGCGGAGGAGTGACGCACTTGGGTGAGAAATTTTTGGAAGGGTAAACACTTGTTCTACACTGTCAAAAAATATGAGGCACTTCTTATCGTACCTTTCAGCCAGTCGCTCTAATGCTTGCGGATGATTTTCTTCCGTAATTTGAAATGCCTTAACAGTGTGAAGAGCCTCGCCAGACAAACAACTTAGTAAGTGGTTGAACCTTTCTATATTCGTAAGTGACTGCTCCTCATGAACTAAATTGTTAAATGTTCCTATACAATTTTTATAATCGGCATATTTGCCGTTAAAAGTTGGCAACTTCAGGTTAGGCAAACGAGTCACAGGAGGCATTGTTATTCCGAGGGTTGTTTCCATCATTGAGCTGTCCCTTCTTCTATTACTTCCCAGCAACGAAAGTAATTTGGATTTGACCGAGACACACAAATCCTCTCAATTTCATTTCAATTTTCTCTATTTCAGACTGATATGCCATAATTTGCTTTATGTATGAATTTAATATATCAAGTCTGCACTCTAGGTCTATCGAGTTCCACACTATTGTAGAATCATCAAGCAAGTTTTTAATGCGGGTTATATTTTTACGAGACGTGGCGCGTTGTTGCTTCAGTGCAGCAAGCGAAATTGCTGATGACTCAGCATTATCAGTGGATAGTGGCATTCTGAATTGTGTTTGTTTCAATTTAATCGAATAACTCAATAAGAACAACGAAATGAAGTGGTATCCAGTATACCTTTGATCCAAAAATACCAAACTGTATGCAATCTACTGTTTGGTTACAATTGGCTACGATTTATTCGTAAAATTTAATTTTTTTTTTTTTCAAAAATGTTTCAATAACCTTGGATTCGAATGAAACTCAGAATGGCGAATATATAAATCCAACAAATTGTTCAAATGATTTTCATTCACCAAGTTTTTCACAAATGCCACTAAGTCCACCTCAATCCATAACCTTCAGGTAAACCCGAACTACAATTCAAAATTTTATTTTCAGAAAAGTGGTACACCCTAATATTGCTTTTATATCAAAGCTATTTAATATTGCCAACTGTACTATTTTTGCACTTAGAGCCGTTTGCGTATATATGTACACAAGTATTAACCGTACCAATTTATCGCCTGATGCCAGTTAACGGGCAAATTTTATTTGCCTATGTATGTACGGTATTAGCTGTACCTATATGCCTACTTGCATATGTACTGATATACATATGTACATATAAATGTAAATATACCACCAAATCCCAGGTTATTTTTTACTGTTTTTTTTTACCGCAAGCAACTTTTGTATTTGCTACCGCCAGAGACTTGTCTAAAATTTAGCCGCAATTCACCGAATTTATATAAATGTGTATATGTATGTACATATGTAGTATATGCTTATGCATGTAACTGCACCGGTTATACGTATTTATATATGCCCGTATGTATGTACACATATAACCTTGCACCGGTTTTTATATTTCTATTGAGGTGCCGTTGAATTTACCGCAAGAAATTATCCGCGATTGAGCCAATCTTTTCCAAAAATATTCTAACGCCAGAATTTTTATCTATTCAAATTCTTTTTTCACAATTTATTCTTTAATTGCCACTTATAATTTCATACATGCAATGATTTAATTTACATATACATTATAACACCACATACCTCATTGATGCCCACACACATCTTACTTGCACCCGGAACCTGCGCCAAAATCCACCGCCGAACCCACTGATTCGCAAGCATCCACAACACCTCCAACCGCAACCAACAGCTCCAAATTCGCCACCAAGATAGCGACAACAACAACAGCAACGTCCAAGTTCGCTACCTCGCAAGCGACAACAACCACAGCCTCCAAATCCTGGACAGAATCGCCCAATGCCAGCAGCCTTTGTCCAACGGGTACCCACGTACTGCGGACGCAATTAAATTGACAGAACACTGGAGTGTGTCCTGTCACGGTCGCCAATGACGCAGCGCTAGTTTGCACTGTAGGGCAGTCGTATGCTCCTAATTCGCCACCAAGATAGCGCCACTAATTCAGAGCGTTGTAATTGAAAGGGTTGTGTTTTGGTCTGATTCAGAAATAGTGATGTACTGGTTGAAAAAGCACCCGGCCACTCTGTCTACTTTTGTCGCAAATAGGGTAGCTGAAATCCAGGAAAACGCAGTCAATGTTGTATGGAGACATGTACCGACTAAAGAGAATCCTGCAGACTTAGCCTCACGCGGATGTGATATTGACCAATCACTGCAACCTTTGTGGGTTGAAGGCCCAAGTTTCCTGGTAAAAGATTCGAGAAATTGGCCACAAAACAAGAAATTTGAGCTCGAGGAATCCAACACACAATTACAGCTAAAAAAGGCGAAAACCATACTAAACCTTGCAGTACAAGAGAATATAATTTTAAAAATATTTGACTCTTTGTCGTCCTTTAACAAAATTGTACGAATTGTAGCATATATTTACAGATTTATAAAGCCGTTCGCTAATACAAGGGGTACGGATATAACCGCCAAAGAATATAATTGGGCGTTTTTAAAAACAGTGGAAACCGTTCAGAAATCTGAATTACTCGAGCAAATGAGGAAAGGCAACTATCCTTGGCAAATATTCAACGAATAAACCCCTTCATGCAAGAGCACACGGAACAGGCCCGAAATTTATCTTTGCTGCGCGTTGGAGGCCGGTTTAAACACTCAGACTTTCCAGAAGACGTAAAATTTCCGTTGTTATTACCAAAATCGTCTAAATTCGTACGTAAATATGTTGAGCACTTGCACCAGTCCTACTGCCATGCAGGTCCAAAGATTTTAGTTGGGTTAATGCGACAAAAGGTATGGGTCATAAATGCCAGAGATATTGCCCGAAAAATAGTTCGCCAGTGTATTCGTTGTTTTAAATTCCGCCCAAAACTAATGAGCCAAATAATGGGTGACTTGCCACCAGATAGATTGAGATCAGTTAGACCCTTTCTTATTTCCGGAGTTGATTTTTGTGGGCCTCTATACACCACCCACAAAATAAGGGGCCGACCGCCTTACAAATCTTACGTTGCCATTTTTATTTGTTTCAATTCAAAGGCTGTACATGTAGAGCCAGTCTCTGATTTATCAACTAATGCTTTTTTATCTGTTCTCAAAAGGTGCGTCGGACGTCGCGGAGTTCCTCAGAAACTATACTGCGACAAGCAACTGCAGGACGACGACAAGCGGAGCGGAATTGGCCGAGCGAGGCATGGAATTCGCCTTCATACCCCCACGCGCACCTCACTTCGGCGGGCTATGGGAGGCAGCCGTCAAGAGCGCCAAACATCTTCTTATGCGCGTCGTCGGCGACAATACCCTTACCTTCGAGGAGTTGGCCACCGTCTTGGTCGACGTGGAGGCAATAATGAATTCCCGCCCACTCGTAGGAGCTACAGACGACCCCAACGACGCCGAGGCAATAACCCCAGCCCATCTCTTAATAGGGGATTCTCTCATGGCCGTGCCCGAACCCCACGTTTCAACCGAGAAGCTATGCTATTTAGATCGTTGGCAGCGGCTCTCGTCCCTGAAAGCTCGGTTTTGGTCCGCCTTCCAGCGGGACCATATTCTCAATCTCCAGGCGAGAACCATATGGGACAGGCCGCAACCCAACCTCGAAGTTGGCACTCTCGTGCTGGTGCACGAAGACAATTTGCCGCCCCAAAAATGGCTATTGGGAAGGGTAGTAAAAACCGTAATTGGCGCAGACGGTAAAGTGCGTGTTGCAGACGTTAAAACATCGTCCGGGGTCTGTCGACGCGCCATACAAAAATTGGCTATGCTTCCAACAAATATAGATTGAAGATCGCAGGCCCTTCAATGGCGCCGGAGTGTTTGAGCAGGCCTAGTTCATCATCGTGACCTTCATTTATTTTCATTTTTTTATATATACATATAGTATGTTCATTTTACATGAAATTCATAGCATTATCGATTTGCATATCGAACTCATATTTGTTTGCACATGAATTGTATTTACATATGTATGTAATACTTCATATTTCTTGATATTAATATTTGAATTGTTAAACCTAATGCTCAATGTAATCTTTGGATGTAGTGTTTAAGTAGTATTTGCTTCTATATGTACATATGTACAACATTAAATGAATTGTATTATTTAAATAATACATGCAGGGCTTTTCAGGATGTTGTGCTAATGATCTTGGATTTGCATTTATATTTGCAGTTACAAATGAACTGAATTATGCAAATTCATGATCACATGCACAACATCCTGAACAGCCCTTATGCATAGTTGCACAAACTTGTGCACTCTAAAAATCCTCAACTTTAAAACAGAGTATTTTTGTAAATAGTGCAGCCCTGCGTGGCCGCTGAATATACACTCACACTAGTATACATATATTATAGTACATAATAACCATTTGAGGCTATGTACTTCTCTGGAATGAATAAACTGAATTATTGTAAAAAGATAATCGGACCGGTCAACACCACTTTTAATTTGCTCGCTCGTTTCCTCCAAAGTTCCGCCGTCGGTAGTGATTTTAATTAAATCTTTGTAGTTACGCGGTTAAATAAGTTTGTTTAGTTGTTGGTAGGAGCATACGACTGCCCTACAGTGCATAAATTTAAATTTGTTAAATAAAGTTTTACGAAGCGCAAACTAGCGCTGCGTCATTGGCGACCGTAACAGGACACACTCCAGTGTTCTGTCAATTTAATTGCGTCCGCAGTACGTTGGTACCCGTTGGACAAAGGCTGCTGGCATTGGGCGATTCTGTCTAGGATTTGGAGGCTGTTGTTGTTGTCGCTAGCGAGGTAGCGAACTTGGACGTTGCTGTTGTTGTTGTCGCTATCTTGGTGGCGAATTTGGAGCTGTTGGTTGCGGTTGGAGGTGTTGTGGATGCTTGCGAATCAGTGGGTTCGGCGGTGGATTTTATCGCAGGTTCCGGGTGCAAGTAAGATGTGTGTGGGCACCAATGAGGTATGTGGTGTTATAATGTATACGTAAATTAAATCATTGCATGTATGAAATTATAAGTGGCAATTAAAGAATAAATTGTGAAAAAAGAATTTGAATAGATAAAAATTCTGGCGTTAGAATATTTTTGGAAAAGATTGGATAAATCGCGGAAAATTTCTTGCGGTAAATTCAACGGCACCTCAATAGAAATATAAAAACCGGTGCAAAGTTATATGTGTACATACATACGGGGATATATAAATACGTATAACCGGTGCAGTTACATGCATAAGCATATACTACACGATTGAGAGAATACAAAAGTTGCGCCGATCTCGGACCGCTATTCCTCTCTTAACGAATTTGAGAGAATCGTTGTTTGCATGACGTCACACTTGTGCAACTTGTTTACGTTTTCCTTGCAACATTTTTTCTTCTTCTTCCGTTCTTGCTTACGTTTTGGCATTTCTCTCTCGCAATTGCACCAGTGTGACGTCACAGAAAAGTTATTCTCAAAAATCCTCTCTGATCGGCGCAATCTTGTATTCTATCATTCTTGCATATACTACATATGTACATACATATACACATATATATAAATTCGGTGAATTGCGGCTAAATTCTAGACAAGTCTCTGGCGGTAGCAAATACAAAAGTTGCTTGCGGTAAACAAAAAACAGTAAAAAAGAACCTGGGATTTGGTGGTATATTTACATTTATATGTACATATGTGTATCAGTACATATGCAAGTAATCATATAGGTACAGCTAATACCGTACATACATAGGCAAATAAAATTTGCCCGTTAACTGGCATCAGGCGATAAATTGGTACGGTTAATACTTGTGTACATATATACGCAAACGGCTCTAAGTGCAAAAATAGTACAGTTGGCAATATTAAATAGCTTTGATATAAAAGCAATATTAGGGTGTACCACTTTTCTGAAACTAAAATTTTGAATTGTAGTTCGGGTTTACCCGAAGGTTATGGATTGAGGTGGACTTAGTGGCATTTGTGAAAAACTTGGTGAATGAAAATTATTTGAACAATTTGTTGGATTTATATATTCGCCATTCTGAGTTTCGTTCGAATCCAAGGTTATTGGAAACGTTTTGAAAAAAAAAATTTTTTTTTATGAATAAATCGGAGCCAATTGTAACCAAACAGTAGATTGCGTACAGTTTGGTATTTTTGGATCAAAGGTATACTGGATACCACTTCATTTCGTTGTTCTTATTGAGTTATTCGATTAAATTGAAACAAACACAATTCAGAATGCCACTATCCACTGATAATGCTGAGTCATCAGCAATTTCGCTTGCTGCACTGAAGCAACAACGCGCCACGTCTCGTAAAAATATAACCCGCATTAAAAACTTGCTGGATGATTCTACAATAGTGTGGAACCTGATAGACCTAGAGCGCAGACTTGATATATTAAATTCATACATAAAGCAAATTATGGCATATCAGTCTGAAATAGAGAAAATTGCCGCAGCGCTAGTTTGCGCTTCGTAAAACTTTATTTAACAAATTTAAATTTATGCACTGTAGGGCAGTCGTATGCTCCTACCAACAACTAAACAAACTTATTTAACCGCGTAACTACAAAGATTTAATTAAAATCACTACCGACGGCGGAACTTTGGAGGAAACGAGCGAGCAAATTAAAAGTGGTGTTGACCGGTCCGGTCAGAGAAGTACATAGCCTCAAATGGTTCTTATGTACTATAATATATGTATACTAGTGTGAGTGTATATTCAGCGGCCACGCAGGGCTGCACTATTTACAAAAATACTCTGTTTTAAAGTTGAAGAATTTTAGAGTGCACAAGTTTGTGCAACTATGCATAAGGGCTGTTCAGGATGTTGTGCATGTGATCATGAATTTGCATACTTCAATTCTTTTGTAACTGCAAATATAAATGCAAATCCAAGATCATTAGCACAACATCCTGAAAAGCCCTGTATGTAGTATTTAAATAATACAATTCATTTAATGTTGTACATATGTACATATAGAAGCAAATACTACTTAAAGACTACATCCAAAGATTACATTGAGCATTAGGTTTAACAATTCAAATATTAATATCAAGAAATATGAAGTATTACATACATATGGGTGTTTCCAGCGGAAGGTCCACCACGACAAAAAAAAATAAAAGTTGTATATCTAACGTATTTACGGGCCGATTAGGCTGCTTTTTAAAATATATACTGGCTATGTAAGTAGAATCATGTTTGCATAAAATGGTCTTCCTAGGTGGTGCCAAGGTCGAGATATTTCGAAAAACCGTATTTATGGTCCGATTTGGTTCGAATTTGGCGTATGTGGTTGAAACATAATAAATCATAAATTTCTAATAAATTGACCCTGAATTGGCGCTGAAGTCAAAATATAAAGTATATTCTACATAAAATACATGTTTTTTTTGCGTTGAAAATTCATTTAAAAGCAATCTTAACGAAAATATAACGATGGAAATTTATGTCACGTGACGCCACGTCACGTCACCTTTCACACTTGGGGTTGTAAAAGAGAATTGAAACAATTTGCATTAATTCAAAAAACTCTAAAAACAACTAGAATTGCTCCAAATCATATCAAAATAAGTTTCATCAAAATAGCCATCCACAATTCGCAGAGTTTTGCGATTTTGTAAGAAATGAAAAAATCAACTTCCATTTTTTGTCACGTAACGACACTCTCTTTAAATGCTTATATTTCAGGACCAAGCAGTTCGATTGATTTCATTTTTCGGTTAAATATAGAGCTAATTATGTGCTATACAATGGCCCAAAAAAGTTGAAGAAAACAAATGGTATTCCTTTTTTGTATCACATTGAAATCGTATGACTGTCACGTGCGCCACCATGGGAATGAGTTCGATATGCAAATCGATAATGCTATGAATTTCATGTAAAATGAACATACTATATGTATATATAAAAAAATGAAAATAAATGAAGGTTACGATGATGAACTAGGCGTGCTCCAACATTCCGGCCCCATTGAAGGACCTGCGATCTTCAATCTATATTTGTTGGAAGCATTGCCTATTTTTGTATGGCGCGTCGACAGACCCCGGACGATGTTTTAACGTCTGCAACACGCACTTTACCGTCTGCGCCAATTACGGTTTTTACTACCCTTCCCAATAGCCATTTTTGGGGCGGCAAATTGTCTTCGTGCACCCGCACGAGAGTGCCAACTTCGAGGTTGGGTTGAGAGCCGCTGCTAACGATCTAAATAGCATAGCTTCTCGGTTGAAACGTGGGGTTCGGGCTCGGCCATGAGAGAATCCCCTATTAAGAGATGGGCTGGGGTTATTGCCTCGGCGTCGTTGGGGTTGTCTGTTGCTCCTACGAGTGGGCGGGAATTCATTATTGCCTCCACGTCGACCAAGACGGTGGCCAACTCCTCGAAGGTAAGGGTATTGTCGCCGACGACGCGCATAAGAAGATGTTTGGCGCTCTTGACGGCTGCCCCCCATAGCCCGCCGAAGTGAGGTGCGCGTGGGGGTATGAAGGCGAATTCCATGCCGCGCTCGACTGCGAACGCGCCAATTTCGCTCCGCTTGTCGTCGTCCTGCAGTTGCTTGGCGAGATCTTGAAGCCGTGTGTTGGCGCCCACGAAGTTCGTTGCGTTGTCGCAGTATAGTTTCTGAGGAACTCCGCGACGTCCGACGAACTTTTTGAGAACAGATAAAAAAGCATTAGTTGATAAATCAGAGACTGGCTCTACATGTACAGCCTTTGAATTGAAACAAATAAAAATGGCAACGTAAGATTTGTAAGGCGGTCGGCCTCTTATTTTGTGGGTGGTGTATAGAGGCCCACAAAAATCAACTCCGGAAATAAGAAAGGGTCTAACTGATCTCAATCTATCTGGTGGCAAGTCACCCATTATTTGGCTCATTAGTTTTGGGCGGAATTTAAAACAACGAATACACTGGCGAACTATTTTTCGGGCAATATCTCTGGCATTTATGACCCATACCTTTTGTCGCATTAACCCAACTAAAATCTTTGGACCTGCATGGCAGTAGGACTGGTGCAAGTGCTCAACATATTTACGTACAAATTTAGAGGATTTTGGCAATAACAACGGAAATTTTACGTCTTCTGGAAAGTCTGAGTGTTTTAACCGGCCTCCAACGCGCAGCAAAGATAAATTTCGGGTCTTTTCCGTGTGCTCTTGTATGAAGGGGTTTAATCGTCGAATATTTGCCGGTGGATAGTTGCCTTTCCTCATTTGCTCGAGTATGTCCGCAAATTCAGATTTCTGAACGGTTTCCACTGTTTTTAAAAACGCCCAATTATATTCTTTGGCGGTTATATCCGTACCCCTTGTATTAGCGAACGGCTTTATAAATCTGTAAATATATGCTACAATTCGTACAATTTTGTTAAAGGACGACAAAGAGTCAAATATTTTTAAAATTATATTCTCTTGTACTGCAAGGTTTAGTATGGTTTTCGCCTTTTTTAGCTATAATTGTGTGTTGGATTCCTCGAGCTCAAATTTCTTGTTTTGTGGCCAATTTCTCGAATCTTTTACCAGGAAACTTGGGCCTTCAACCCACAAAGGTTGCAGTGATTGGTCAATATCACATCCGCGTGAGGCTAAGTCTGCAGGATTCTCTTTAGTCGGTACATGTCTCCATACAACATTGACTGCGTTTTCCTGGATTTCAGCTACCCTATTTGCGACAAAAGTAGACAGAGTGGCCGGGTGCTTTTTCAACCAGTACAGCACTATTTCTGAATCAAACCAAAACACAACCCTTTCAATTACAACGCTCTGAATTAGTGGCTCAATTACTTTATATAATTTTGTTAGTAACAAGGCGCCACAAAGTTCGAGACGGGGGAGACTTTTGGTTTTTAACGGCACCACTTTAGATTTGGCAGTCAACAGTTGCGATGTTACAACATTGTCATGTGTGCTTCGAATATATAAACAACAACCATAAGCACGTGGCGAAGCATCACAGAAGCCATGAATTTGTATACTTTTATTGGGAAACATATTTACAAAGCGTGGTACCTCCATTTTGTCGACTTGTGCTAAATTTTGAGCCAATTTTTGCCATGATGTTTCTATACTTTGGGGAATTGATTCATCCCATGCCAACTTTAATAGCCATAATTCTTGTAATAAGATTTTAACGTTTACAATAAGAGGGCATAGCAAACCGAGCTGATCAAAAATACGTGATGAAACTGACAATATATTACGCTTAGTGGGTTTTATTTCAAGTGAAGTTCGGTCGATTTTAAATTTTATTGTGTCTTTTTTCGGGGACGAAGTGACTCTGAGCGCCTTAACTGTGCAGGTTTCGTCCGCCTCCAACGATTTCTCCCCTTCTTCGTTTTGGAACAACTTTGGATAATTGGAGTGCCATTTTGCCAAGCTGAATCCTCCGCCTTTTAAAATCGTAACGACCTCTTCCTGAATTTGTAGCAACTCTTTTATGTTGTCCGCACCAGATAGCATATCATCAACATAAAACTCATCTCGGATTACCCTACAACCGAGTGGATATTGGTCTGAATATATGTCGCTCAATTGCTTTAAACATCGAATAGCTAAAAATGGAGCGGGCGTTGTACCGTACGTTACAGTATTCAGGCAATACTTCTGAATTGGATCGATTGGACTTTCTCTATATAGAATTAGCTGAAATCTTTTATCATTAGTCATTAATGGCTACTTGTTCGAAGTCCGAGAAAATGCGACCCTGCTCGGTTAGTTTTACCATCCCTGGCTTCAACTGACGTAAGAAACATATGCTTTGCAGCTAACCTGGCTATGTATACATATTGTTTACTTTGTACTAGCAAGAATTCTTTCAATAAATCTAAATCAGATATAGTCTTCGGCTTAGTGTTTATTTTTTGAAAACCGACAAACTTTTTACATTTTGGCAACCCTTGCGGGGAATCCACGGCTTTGGATACTCCGCTGCAAAAGTTATTGGCAGCGTTTGCGCATAAAAAACGAGTTTCGGAATCTGCTCCGCACGCACGTGTGGTGGGACTCCTACAACATAACCTCACTTTAACATCGTGCTGCTGAAATTAATTTGCAGCAGCGTTCGCAGAAACATTGCCGTACAACGCACTACGGTGGTATTAGACATGGATAGGAAGGTTAAGCAGCTGCAGTCAAGCAAGACGGCAATTTTAAATTTCGCAATAAATACCCGCAAAACCGCAAAAGCAAAGCAAACAAAGGGCTTTTTGCAAGCGAGAAAGGAGCTTCTGGGGCAATATTGGGCAAAATTCGTGTGTCTTCATGACCAGGTTGTTAGTGAGTGCACTCCTGAAGAAATGGAGGCAGCTGGCATTGCGACATCTATTGACTTCGAGGCAGTGGAGTGCGTCTATGCCGAGACCATGGGCGAACTACACGATCTATTGGACAGCACGAATTCGGTCACTGATACATCGATGTCGCAGTCCTTCGTACCAACACAGGCGGTAAATCAATCACTACCACGCATTCGAATTCCACCATTCGATGGTAACTTCCTACACTGGTTCCCGTTTAAAGATTTGTTCATCTCCATTGTTACATCTAACGCATCCCTCTCAAACACACAGCGCTTGCAATACTTAAAGGATAGCCTTACTGGAGAGGCTAAAAATGCGCTTGATAACGTCACTACGACAGATGCTAACTTCCAGGTTGCGTGGGAGCTACTTCAATCCAAGTACGAGAACAAACGGATAATAATCAATGCTCATGTAGCAGCGATTAGCAAACTTCCTTGTGCTCCGAAAGAATCTGCCTCTGCGCTGAGGTCATTACTTGATGGCGTGACGTCGTCTATACGTGCGCTGCAGCATTTGGGCCGGCCAATCGAGCATTGGGATGATTGGCTGGTGTTCACTATTACTCACAAGTTGGATGCCACCACTCGCAAAGCATGGGAGCTCTCCCTAAAGTCGAACGACGATATTCCAACTTTTAAGGAGCTGCAGGAGTTTCTTACCAGTAGAACACAATCCTTGGAAATAGTCCAAAGCTACACCGAGCCGAAGCCCTTCGTAAAGGAGCATACTCCAAAGAAGTTAGGCACCACCTCTGCTGTTTCTGGGTATCATACCACATCTGGGCGCTGTCCCAACTGCTCCGGTAAGCATATTATAATGTTTTGCGAAGCTTTTCGCAATAAATCGCCGCACGAACGGTATGACTACGCACTACAAGCTAAGCTGTGCCTAAACTGTTTGCACATCGGCCACCAGCAAGCAGCTTGTTCTTCCGAGCGCCGTTGCAAGACGTGTCAAGCTAAGCACCACACAATGCTGCACGACTACTTTGCTTTCAACGCGACTAGTACGAGCAAACAGGCTGCATCCTCTCATAACGCAGTCACAACAAGGCAAGACCCTAATATGCTGCCGCCGGTACTGATCGGCACAGCCCTGATTGAGGTTAAGTCAAAGTCCGGACACAAGGTCGTTTTACGAGCTTTACTGGACAGCGGGGCAGAAGCAACGTTCATCAGCGAATCCGCAGTCAACTTGTTACACTTGGTGAAGTCTAATGTAAAGATACCTATTAATGGTGCTAACGGTGATAGAGTGGCTACAGCAAAGGGGCTAGTAACGTTTAATCTACGTTCATTGAAATCCGACTTCGAGCTTGCATGCATCGCTCTAGTGCTGCCTCGAGTTGGAAACCGAACCCCGACGGTAGCTATTGCACCGAACGATGTTCAACACTTTAGTGAGTTAGACCTTGCTGATCCCACCTGGAACGTACCGCAACCGATTGATGTCATCTTAAATGCTGCCGATTATGCTGCTCTTCTGTTAAGCGGAATACAGCGTAGCAAAACTAGTCTTTTGATTGGCCAAAGTACACGGTTGGGTTGGGTAATTTTCGGCAGTTCTGCTAATCAATCTTTCGTAACGACACGGGATGTGATCGACTGCTATCACACTCAACTCGATCTCGACCAAACGCTTCGCAGCTTCTGGGAGTTGGAAGAGCTTAATTCAACGCCCGCACTAACGCAAGATGATCGATTCGTCGAGAATTACTTCAACCGCACTACGCGGCGAGCTGCAGACGGTCGTTATATTGTGCGGCTACCAGTCAAACCGGATTCTGATCTAACGCAATTAGCCTCTACGCACCATGATGCGATTGTTCTCCTCGATCATCTTCGTCGACGTTTATCTCGAGATCCGGTCATGCGAGATATGTACGAAGAATTTATCAACGAGTAGGCATCATTGCAACATATGGTCAGCATCACTAAAGAAGAAGAAGGTTCAACGCCCATCTGTTATCTCTCCCACCACGGCGTCTGGAAAACATCCAGCAGCACAACGAAATTAAGGGTCGTCTTCAACGCTTCAAGACGATGCAACAGTGGTAAGTCTCTTAATGATTGCTTATACTCTGGTCCTAAGTTACAGAACGACCTGACTGCTGTTGTACTAAATTGGCGTCGATACCGAATTGCGCTCACTGGAGATATCGCCAAGATGTACCGTCAGATCTTGGTGGACGAGAGAGATACTGATTTGCAGCGTATTGTTTGGCGACCTAACTCGCACCGAGAGCCAACACATTTCAGATTAAAAACTGTCACTTATGGTACCAGTTGCGCGCCATACCTGGCAATTAAAGTATTGCACACTCTATCTGCTGACGAACGCTGTAACTTTCCTGACGCTGCTCAGATCTTGCTTGATGAGTTCTACGTGGATGATGTTCTAACGGGGGCAGACAATGTCGAGGATGCTTCCAGACGACGTCGAGAACTGCAAGGCCTTCTCCGCGCAGGTGGCTTCGCCCTGCGAAAGTGGAATTCCAACTCAAGCGCTGTGCTGAAAACCATTGATCCTGTTGATCTTGAAACTAAATCTTCACGGGAGTTTCAGCTAGAGGGAGAGTACAACACCTTAGGACTCGTCTGGGCTACCAAAGACGATTGCTTGACCTACGCACTAAAGCTTGATTACACGGTAACCACATTTACAAAGCGACAACTGCTGTCTGACGTGGCTAAGCTGTTCGACCCACTTGGGTTCCTGGCGCCTGTAATTATTCGTGGAAAAATGTTTATTCAAAAATTGTGGTTAACAGGCCTAGATTGGAATGACAATCTGCCGGAAGACTTGCAGACGAAATGGATATCTTTTCGCAACGAGCTTAAGACAGTTCCAGAAGTACGCATATCACGCTGGCTTAATACATCCCAGCAAAATGAAACCTATGAGCTCCATACCTTTGCAGATGCATCTACGCACGCATACGCCGCTGTAGTGTACTTAAAGGTTGTCGCTCAATCATCCGTCCACATTCACCTATTGATGTCGAAGACACGAGTGGCACCGTTAAAGAAAGTTACAGTACCACGGCTCGAGCTATGTGCAGCCTTACTTGCTGCTCGTCTGATGAATAAGGTAAGAGATACGCTTAACCTATCCTCTATATCTACTTATATGTGGTCAGACTCTACGACTACAATATGGTGGATACGATCCGATCCAGGAGCGCTAAAAGAGTTCGTGTCGAATCGTGTTAGCCAGATACAAGTGGTGACTACTGTAAGCGACTGGCGTTATGTTAACACGGCCGACAATCCTGCTGATTGTGCCTCACGAGGACTGACCATGGCGCAGCTTGTAGATCATCACCTATGGTGGCATGGGCCCTCCTGGCTTAGCCAACCAGAAACCAGCTGGCCACAGCCTTTGCTAAAGGCACCAGAAAAGCTCTCCGAATCCAAACCTGTGCAAGCTACAACGACACGCATCATTCCTTCTGATTGGTTCATCCTGGAAAACTATTCGACGCTTGAAAGACTTTTAGTAATCACTGCTTGGTGTTTCCGATTCATACGGGTCTCGCGAGGTATGGCCCATGACACTGGCATGATGTGTTTGTGGAGCGAGCGCGAGGCTGCCATGAATATTTGGATCAAGCGCATACAAGCTATCACGTTCAAGAGCTCGGCGGTCGCTTAAGGAACGCAAATATTCCATTCTCAGAGCGACACCCTGTCATACTACCAAAGGATAATCATCTCACCATGTTGGTCATTAGACAAGCTCACCGGCGCACCCTTCATGGTGGCACCCAAGCCACACTCCAGTACGTTCGTCAACGGTTTTGGATTATCGACGGACGGCAAGCTGTTAAGCGAATAACGAGTAATTGTGTAAGGTGCTTCCGCTACAAATGTTCGCCTCAGACGCAACTAATGGGCGATCTTCCCTCTGCCCGCTGCAATGCATCACCGCCGTTCATGCACAGCGGCGTGGATTTTGCGGGCCCCTTCAACATAAGAACAACCAAAGGTCGAGGCCACCGTAGCTACAAAGGCTACGTGGCGCTCTTTGTGTGCTTGGCCACAAGAGCAGTATATCTCGAGCTCGTCAGCGATATGACAACGGAAGCGTTTCTTGCAGCGCTGACACGATACGTATCGGTACGTGGACTTGGCTCTGATTTATATAGTGACCATGGGACAACATTCATTGGAGCCAATGCTCTAATTCAAGAAGAGATACGTGCGTTCAAAGCTCAGCTACGAGCTGCCACTAGTTACGGCTCTACAATCGGCCTGACATGGCACTTCATACCCCCCGGTGCTCCAAATTTTGGCGGTATCTGGGAGGCAGGCGTCAAGAGTATGAAACACCACCTTCGGCGGATAATTCATACTACGACCTTAACATTTGAAGAATTTTATACCGTGTTGAAACAGGTGGAAGCGTGTTTGAACTCGCGACCGATTTCTGCACTGTCCGATGACCCTCAGGACTTATCAGCGCTTACACCGGGCCATTTTCTGATCGGAAGAGCAGTGACGTCACTCCCAGAACAGTGCATCCTTGGCGAAGCGGATGGCTTATTGAAGCGATGGAAGTTGATGAAGCAGATGCACCAAAACTTTTGGCATCGTTGGTCCTGCGAGTATTTGCATCAACTTCAAACGCGAAATAAATGGCGCACGCAACAACCAAATATTGTCTGCGGCCAACTCGTTTTAGTACGAGACGAACGGTTGCCACCCAAGTGCTGGATTCTTGGTCGTATAACCGATGCTCACGCTGGAGAAAACGGATTAGTTCGCGTGGTTACTATAAGAACGCAAACCAGTCTTATCAAAAGACCTATATCAAAGATCTCGGTTCTACCCATCGAGATTGACCCGATGGATTCACAGGAAGGAACAACTCAGGCCGCGCTCAAGACGGTAGGCGGCGCACTATAATAATTTCGCCGACAAATCCGACGAAGGTGGGCGGAATGTTCGAAGTCCGAGAAAATGCGACCCTGCTCGGTTAGTTTTACCATCCCTGGCTTCATCTGACGTAAGAAACATATGCTTTGCAGCTAACCTAGCTATGTATACATATTGTTTACTTTGTACTAGCAAGAATTATTTCAATAAATCTAAATCAGATATAGTCTTCGGCTTAGTGTTTATTTTTTGAAAACCGACAAACTTTTTACACTACTTGACTGTACATTTTAGTAATATCTGTGGTTATGGCCCATTTGCGACAACGAAAGCGTATTAGTGCACTGAATAATTCTGGTTGAATGGTCGGGCCAACCATCAAAGTTTCATTTAGTGAAACTTGCGTCGAACTTTTGCATGACGCATCGAAAACTACTCGTAACTTGGTAGTTGCGGCATCGGGTCTTAAAACACACTGATGCGGGATAAAGTAATGTGGCATATTAAAATCAATATTTTCTATTGGAGACATATGACCTAATGTGATGTACTCATTCATAAAGTCTTTATACATGTCATAAACTTCTGGCGTTTTTTGCAATCTTCTTTCTAATGAAAGGAATCGTTTTTGAGCTATTTCAAATGTAGACCCAAGTGCATATGGGTCTTTTTTAAAGGGCAGTTTCACTTCAAATCGGCCACTGGGCAATATTTTGAAATTTTCTTTAAAGTGATTTTCGCAATCCATACCCAGCAAAAAATCGGTAATCGCTTTTAGTGGTAACGTATTCTAGAAGGCATTGTGTTATAATGCCTTCGAATGTTTTCGCTTCTTTTAGGCATTGCCGGTAATGCAAAGTAGAATGTCTTACAATATTTTATTTGCTTCGCTTCTTTGCTTCATTTCAGGGAACGCAAAGTAGAATGTCCTACAATATTTTACTTGCTTCGCTTCTTTGCTTCATTTAAGGGAATGCAAAGTAGAATGTCCTACAATATTTTTTTTTATTTTCTTCTTTGCTTCATTTCGGGGAATGCAAAGTAGAATGCTGCATCGTAGTCAGCTGAAAAATAGAATGAATATCCAAAAATTTCTTTTTCTACCGTTATTTTCTGTGGAAATTAGTCTCGCATAAAAATCATGTTTTGCTTTCTTCAATTTGCAGCGAAGTTGAAGTCAGTCAATGAAGTGAAGTACCAGAGTGAGGAAGTACAATTTTAAGCTTAATTAAATATGCATGTATGTTCATACCGATTTTTAAGTAAAATCTAAATATATTATTACATACATATGTATGTATAAACACTGATTTGTAAAAATTTTATTTAATTTTAATCTTTTAAGACATTTTCTGATTTCAATTTAATATAAATAAGTATATACTTATCTAGACATTCTACATTAGTTTCTCTGTAAGGCATTCTTTGTTCGCTTCTCTGGATTCGGTTTATTCATGCGTTCTCCCTTTGTTTGAAGGTAATGCTGTGGGTAAGGGCTTACCGCCAATGACATGCCCA